CGCCGCCCCCGGGGCCGGGCCAGCACCGGATGCGGCGCCGGGCCAGCTCCCCTGATGCCCGCCCCCTCCGCGCCCCGAGCGCAGCCCGGCGTGGGCGCTGCCCCGAGCGCCTGCCCCTCCCGCGGGGCCCCCCGCGCCGCGGCCCCGGCGGCTCCGCAGGAGGGCCGCACGATGCCAGAGCCCCGCTGCCCCAGGCCCCCTCCGGGGTTGGCGGCCGCCGGCCCCGTCCGCACCCCGGTGGCCCTGTGCGAGGCAGGCCTGGGCAGGCCGCCGGGCCGCTCCCGCAGGAAGCTGGCCTGGTGCAAGTCCTCCGAGAGGCACGGCTGTTGCGGCCTATTCCCGGGTTAAGGCCAGCGCTGGCAAAACCCGGGCGCCGGTGCAGCTGTCGAGGCCGGGGCGCCAGAGGCCCCGCGGAGGGGCAGGCGCGGGTCTGCGAGCCCTTGCCCCATGGCGCTGCCGGTGGGGGCACGGGCCGTCCCCGCCGGCGGGCCTCCCTCGCAGGGCCCGCTGTGCCCTGAACTCGCGCAGGGAACAGGCCCAGTAGGCCCGAACCCTCCTCCCCACCCAGAGGCCGTGGACTCCATCTCCCAGGTCGCAGAGCGCTGGCTGTGCTGGCCTGGGCCGATGGGAGCAGAAGTCCGAAATGTCAACAGGTTGAGGAAGCCGATTCCTTCGAAGGAGGTGGGGCACTGAAGGTGGAGCGGAGAGCAGGGCTCGTTCTTGCCCGCTCTTCTGGACTTCAGCTCCCATCAGACCCAGCTAGCATGGTCGAATTTCAGGAATCCTGAGAGTTGCAGTCCAAAACATCTGGAGGGCACTAAGCTGGGGACAGCTGGCTTTCGATGGTCTCCAAGCGTCCTGCCCTTACAAAGTTTGCTTCAAGAGCGCATGAGCAACTTCGAGGTTTTTTTATATGGGATGAGAAACGTAGACAGGTCGGAAGAAAAGAAAATGCAGTGTAGATTTCCTTTGATATTAAAGACATCTATTAATACTGATCCTTTTCAGTGTACCTGTTTCTGATAATATCCTGGCAGTAGGTGAGCCAATTAACATGTATGAGAAGAATCCTAAATCCCAATTTAGGTTTCTTGCAATAGAAATAAACCTGTCAAATTAGAATTCAGCACTCTCTTCAATATTCCTCTGAAGTTCTCTTGCACCAAAAGGACCTCCTTTAAGATTTGTGATGCAGCGATTAAGGCTATTTGTCCTTGATTAATCTCTCCTCTGCTAATTTTTCTCACAGATGCCCAGTGGAGACTTCTGTGTGCAAAAATATTTTTTGCAATGAAGTGGAGGGCATATTCTTGGGTGCATAGTCTTTTTCGTGAATCAATATTCTGGTCATAATGTCACATAAGCAACCCCCCCACCCCTTGCCACTGATAATTGCCTATGGCAGCTTTACCCAATCAGGTGCTCTTCCAATGTGTCACACCACTGGGAATGATGGGGGCTGTAATCCAACACATCCAGACTGCACTGAATTAAGGAAGTCTGCCATATGGATTGAGAGTTTTTCAAATAAAAATTAAACGCCTGTATAAACATATACACACTGGATGACGTTTCTCTCTGTCCTGTGTTTCTCCCTGCTTTTACTAACCATCATAAGGTGGGAGGGAACCCAGCGTACAAACTGAGTACTCCCCCCCCCACCCGCAACCCTTTTTATACTGTAGTGAGATTGTATAAAAATGCTGCCTGCAAAAACCATGGCTACAACATGCATAAAAGATTTTAATGAGCCACTCCTGGTTTTTGTTTTGTTTTTAATCTCTCTCTCCTGTCTCCCCTCACTCCTGTAGAAAGCTAACAGCTGTTAGGTGCAAGCCACCAGCTCATTTCCCAGCATGACAGAATGTAGAATAGGCCCAACCAGAGCAAAAGATCTTGCGATCAGAACATGTTTAATTGCTTTTTCTGTGGTTTGAGCAATAAGCACAGGCTTTGTGGCTTTTGCCATCCCAATGGTGAGAACTACCCCTTGGGTAAGGTATGGTCCCCACAAGAACTCCCAGGTAAACAGCTGTATGCCAGGAATAATCTGCCTATGCAGGTATGACCTAAACATTAATAGATGAATCAACTAAAACTCCTCTCATTGAGGTTTATTTCTTGGTGATCGCCCTGATATTTATGCTGTAGCATTCCGGGAACTAAGTTCTTCACGGGACCTTGAAATCGCAGAGTTTAATCTAGATTTATCTTGCAGTGTATTCATGTAGGTGACTGGATTCTTCAGAGATAGGCTCTGTGATTGTGCCAGGTGGAGAAAGGGGTGGCGAATGGGTCGTAACAGGGAACGGGCCATTCCAAGCCTCTGGAATCAGAGCACTTCAGCCAGGACAGGGCCCTATCTCTGTTCTGATGCTGCATTGTGGCTTCGGGGTGGGGGGTTACTGGATCGATGTTGCTGTGAATTTAGTGCTGTTGGTGTGCTTGGCTTGGCAGCTCCTGAATCCCTGGTGAACATGCGTACATTTGTAAATGAGCGGGTTATTATAAGGCAAAGCAGATCTTTTGTGCTTTGTCTGCAAAGTAAATACACATGCTGTGAAGGTAGTTCTGAACTTCGCACTCTTAAGGGAAGGCTGGGCGGTTAAATTAGGGATACCTCTCTCAAACCTCTACACATCTCCAATGAGGAAGGCCTGCTGTGAAAGCATTTCTACACTGGTTAATGTTTAGGTATTTATTATATAGTCCACCTTCTTCCTCCAAGGAACTCGTAAACCTCTCCTCCATATTAGATTCTATCCTTGGAATCAGACCGAAATATAATAAAGGAATAATTAACAAAGAGGCTGTGATTAAGCATTTGCACAGTACTTTTACTAGTAATTAATTACAATTACTCCGAAAGCACTTGAAATTAGCCTGTACAGTTTCCAGGTTCAGAAAAAACAGATAATACACAGTGAGGTTCCTAGTGTGGAGAAAAGGGCAAAAATGTTTTTAGAATTACTACCCAGGTTAATAATAGAACTGAATGTAAACAAAGTAATAAAAATGACATGATTTCTATAAATGAGACAAAGTATTACAATTTAAAGTAATAATTTATGTATATCATGCATGTTCAGACGATTCATCAATTAACAGAAATGTGTGCAAGTCCTATTTTAGGTTGTTTAAGTCGTTAGCAGTGTATTTTAAAGGCTGGCAATTATTTTCAAGGATGGCCTTGAAGGAAGTCTTCTTCCAACCTGATGCCATGTTGCCCCTGTCCCCAACCAGCTGTCCTACACACCAGGGCACCAGGCTGGGGCAGGCTCCTTCGGAGAGCTCTTTGCAGTTGCGCCCTCAGCAGGCTGCACGACAACCCTGCAAAGCACACCCGGCCTTCTGTTCTTCCCCCCGCAGCGCAGCCACGGCTGAGGCGGAGAGGCTGAGCTTGGCGGGGGCGTCCAAGCAAAGGGCAAAGCAAGCTGGCGCACAGCCTCATCTCTGAGTCGCACATCTGCCCGACCTGGTTGTCGGGGGGATCTCCGCTCTGCTCCGCATCGACAAGGCAGGTGAGGAGGTCAGAGGAACTGCCCGGATGCCCCACCTGTCTACGCCTCCCCCCACCTGCACCGCTGCTGAAGCGGGGTCGAGCCCGCCTTGGGAAGCCAAGCGAACGTATCCGCTTCGGCTTTGGGGGGGGGGGCGCTTCTGCCGCAAAAGGAGGCCGCCGCCGCCGCTGCTTTGGGGCTGGGGGGGGACCGTGCGTCTCGCTGACCTTGCGCGGCGGTGCTGTGCTCCCGGGGTCTCGGATGCGCGGTCCCACCTTCAGCGCCCGGCGCGAGCAGCACTGGCGCGCCGCACCTCGGCGCAGCCCGTCGGCGGCCGGCCCAGGAAGAGGCGGCTTCCGGAGGTGAGCGGGGGGGCTCCTTCCACCAGCGGCGGCCCCACCTCCGCTCCCACTTCCTGGAGGCTTCAGGGTCTCTCTGCCGGCCGGGGTCCCTCCCGCCGCCCCGTCCCCCCAGCGCGGCCGCGGGGCGGGGGCCGGCCGGGCACGCGGCTGGCCCCCCGGGCGCGCACGGCGGCGCGGGGGCCGCGAGGCGCTGCCCC